GGGATTAGTAAATAGGTGGTGCCACAACTTGTGGTATGAGGAAGACGTGCACCTATATCTGGGGCGTATTAAGGAAACTATTTTGGCGCGGCGGTAACTTGTTCCCCAATATTTGTGGTCGCCTGCCTGCTTCCACAATCATTGGAGAACAGACGTGCCACTCCAAACCCAGCCCCTCCTCTCCTCCTGTCAAACGGCTGTCAACAAGCGTGGTCGTGTTTAGTGATCCAAGAAAAGGAAGGACAAACCCAGCGCGATATCCATGCATAAATACCCGCAGGCAAATGACATAATTCGAGAATTACCTGTGTAAAAAGGTGAGTATGATCTGCAAATCTCAATATCTCAAAGAGTAAACATTTCTACTACCTTTTCGCTTTCGGTGTCGAGCGCACTTGTAGCTTCGTCCAGTAGAATCACTTTGGGTTTACGAATAAGCGCTCTGGCAATGGCAACACGCTGCTTTTGTCCGCCTGACAGACATCCTCCTTTCTCACCGACATCGGTCTCGTATCCCTAGTGCTGGTCAATTAAGGATCCAGTTGGAATCATGCGAAAAGCTTGTTCAGAACCTGAGGGAAAGCCTCAACGAAGTTGGCCGCATTCGCTTGTCTGCACGCCTCTTGTACTTCTGATACGGTAACACCGTCCAGTCCAAGTGTGACATTTTCAATAATCGACCCTGAACCAAACATTCAGTGGCGCACGTGAGTTTAAATACTGCAATCGTTACCCCGGAAAAGAATGGGTTCTTGGCCTACGAGAGCGATGTTGTTTCGAAGGTGTATTCGGCACAATCGCTTCAAATCATTATTGTCGATTTTCTGGAAGTGGGAAGTATTACACTTGTAATGAAAATGTGGAAAAAGTGATGTAGTGAAAAGAAAGTAATAACTAATTGTAATCAAGAACAAGTACGATAAAAATAATGTTGAAGTAAACTGTAGGGCTGAAAGTAAAGATGTTATAACTATTACACAGCCGTGCGGTGTAGATCGTCACCACGTAGTACCCCACGTAGTCTCTATATAGAACATATACACAACATTTTCATTAACTTACAATGTTTCCATCGTCCGGCTCGTAGAATCTTTCAAGAAGCTGAATTACAGTACTCTTTCCACACCCTGACGCTCCCACAAGGGCAATGGCTTGACCGCTCTGCGCCATGAGATTCAGATTTCGGGCAACCTAAACTGTATATTCCGTGAAAACAGTTTGTGCTCGTGCTGAGGATCTATGGGCTTTTGGAGTGTGACTAACGACTGTCAAATACAGAGCTCTTTCTGGGCTCCAGAACTATTACGGTTTGAAACGTCGATGTGATTAGGGTCAACTTTTGAATTGAAGACAAGCTGCACACTCACCTCCCAGGACGGTCGTTCTGCAATGGCGTTCCACTTTCTTCGCTCAAAGATGCACGGAAACTGAGCAGAGAGTAGTGATACTCGGTGCCGGTTCCATACTACGCCTGCGCTGTCTTCAAGGTGCAGCACTTGCATGCCAAGAACCCGCAATGAAATTTTTTCTCAACAGTGGAGAACAACCAGACGTGGTAGGGAGCACACACGTAGAGCGTTTGGCTACGATTTGGTGCGCAGCTGGCCGTCGACAGAGTGAGGCGGAGCATGGACCAAAGGTATCACTACACTTCAGCCTCGTTCTCCTGCAGCCTGGAGCGGAGAAAGTGGTATACTACTGCAACTGCGGACCATTCACCTCATGCTGGTAAGGATAACGATCTACGAAGGGTAGTGTGCAGTGTCTCCGAGCTCTCGTTCTTTGAGCTCGTGTTCAACTCGCTCTTTATGCTCCTTATGAGCAGTAAACTTTCTTCGTTAGCAGTTATCACTCAGTGTTTCCGTGTTTCGACCTGGATCTTCTTCATTGACGCTTCAAATTATGGCTAGCCAAGATGTAACCACCCTTTGCCTCCCGCTGTGGTTAACACTGAACTTTTCATAAATACAGTATCTTGAAAGAATTCGAGAATAACCTTAACATCAGGACGTGAAGGATAGCTGAAGTTGACCTTCTCCACTTTGACAGATCCGTTTATATTCTGAAATAGACAACGATTGGTCATTCAAAAACACTGACAAATCTTCTATTTCTCGTGTATTCCCTTACGTGCGAGCAGCAAAATTTCAAAATATTCCCACATTACAAATCTCGCCTTCCACAATCAGCTGGATGGAACAATTGATGTAAGAAAACTACCACGTCACGACTATAGCTCTCATTTTCATGGATTATAGGAGTACGAAAATGCAAGTCTGAATGCTCACTGACTTTGCAGGGAAGGAAAAAGCGATAGAAACTGTCAGAACGCAAAACAGGCCATCATCGACTGGGTGAGTTTTACGGACCTATTGTTTTCATGCCAGGATTAGATAGGCCGCAGTCGCCTATGCGCAGTATCCCCTGATTCACAGTCCCTTTTTCAACACTCTTGTGCTAGATATCGTACAACACTCAAAAAATAAGAAATTCTCTTGACCAGAATTCTTATATAGGTGTGACTTGAGGGAATTTTTTCGTGGAAAACTGTGTCTACCGTAGTCCAGCGAGCTATAGCGCCACACGCGGGAAAGCTTCCACCCGGAATGGTTTCCGTCCACTTCCACAGTATTACCGCTAACGTATTTCGTTTCCGATGGGCGAGGCAACTTGAAGGTCCGCATATAACAACTTATGACGGCCGCAGCTCCCGTGCCACTCTTTGTGGAAAAATGCGACAGAAAATGCGACAAGCTTAGAAATGGTGGACCGAGCAACTTATGCAAGGAAGAAGTTCTAAAAACTGGATGAGAGCGAGTTCCGTCCTTTGCTCACTCTTTCGTAGGCGTCCTTCCTTGTCCAATTACTCTGGTCCGCAATCTCTAAAATGTCCCACTTTCGCGGCTTTACAGCAAGTAACAAGGCACTGTGGCCCTCATGAGTGGCAGTTCTGACGCCTCCCTAGCAGTACCGTCCACCGAAGCTCAAAGGCCATTTTGTGCCATGAGTTATATTTTTACATCGTGTTTCTTTGCTTTTTTTCTCACTGTAAATTGTGTTTACATTGCATGATGCGAAGAAGCGATTAATCAACAACCACTGCAGGATATCGCTTTGCTAACATATCTCGAGCTGGTCCGAAGAACTCGTACACTTCCAGGTCTCCGTAGAATGTTCTCCACGATTTTTTTTTGCGTTTCTCTTTCCTGTAGAGTCACTTAGCGACCACAAATTCGTAACTAGACACCATCCTGTGAGTCGCGGAATTATTTCTTACACGAGATCCCGATATAATCACGCCTAGACCGCCTACATAGTTTGACGGTAATCGTGCTCTTATGGAGAGATCAAGCAGCCTTTATAAGCAGTGGAGTTTGGTTGAGCATCAACTTGTGGGAGGTGGGCAACGTTTGAAAACTATGAAGGCATTTGTACACAGTTTCAATAGCCCGACGCCCTTGTGCCAGAGCCGCTTCAACAGCTGCCTCAGCTCCTTTTCATTGCCCCTACTGCCTTCAAACTCGACTGCAGCTCGCATTACATCTGAACATTAAAGGGCATTCATCAAGGAAAAATGAATAAGAACTCACAGGAGTTTCACCACCCTCCGCAGGTTTATAGCTATCTATCAGACCATACAGCGACTGAGCAGCAAAATGAGACCGTACGAAATCGCCAAAAGCTGCTGATGCAAATATTACAGCCCACCCGGCGAAGTTCGCACTCGTTGCAGACCTACAAAGAACTCGCACTCTGACAGGGCTTCGACGTCAAACTGATGTACATCCACTTTTTTTGATTGCTCACATTTTGAGCTCCTAAACAAACCACCCCACAGCTGAGAAAGTATTGCTAAGAAAACGAAAGTTCAAAAAGCTAGGGTAAGATGTGTTGTGTAAAGACCAGTGAAGTATGACGAATCTCACAAAAAATAAAAGTTCTAAGATGACCACATGGGCGGAGACAGGCCCACCTTTCTGTCCCGTGCAAAGGCATGTCGCTTCCGCAACCCAGTAGAGGAGCGTCATTAACAAAAGCGCAGTGGGAGGCATGAGTCCGCCCATACGATCAACGTGGACTGTCCCAGAGACATTCACCCACACAACTGTGTTCTTCGAGTCCACTCGTCCGTAATAAATCATGGTTGCTCCAATACTGTATGTAACCATATCGGAAAAGTAGATGTAACACTGAGTGAGTGCGAACTGGATCGACTGATATATCGTCGTCTGAACAATGCTTTAATGATAACCTCATGATCCATTCTTCCACACATTAGAAGAAATCGGCGTGGAGACCACGTTCGAAATGTTTGTAGGTCTTGCCCCACATAAACACTGCCGCTCAAAGCAGGGATGATGGTTGAAGGAATGGTTAGTTGTTGCCAGTGTCATCGGTGAAATGGCTTTGAGAGGGCGTTCGGCTACACCACACTATACGCTTCCACCAGTGACGTTGGCAACAACCGCCCGCCCCCAATCACAGTGCCTCCTGCCTTTGAATCAGTTCAAGAAATTTTGTCAATTAGTCATCACCCTTGGATTCTCCCTTGAAAGGCCATGAGGTTCCACTGCTATCCCTGGTTCTCTGAGGCAGAGAGTTGAACCTTCTGAGTCGTGGATAAGGTGAAAAGAAGGTTTCCGGGCCAAGCCAGAGTTGGGCTTTACTGCTCTGACTGGTTATCGCTCACGAGTGCAATCATCATCATGTCATCTGCAAACGAGAGGGAGCGTGAGATGGGTGTAGTGAAGTGCAGCGGAGGCGGGCTCTTCTATCAGCCATCCTGAGCTAGGAACCGTTGCAGGAAATGGCTGCCTTGACTGCGCTCCAATCCTCACTCCTTCACACACCTGCTCACTTGCAGGCATGACTGTACGAGGCAATAGTACCGCTTTTGGAGTTACTTCAGAAGTGTAGAGGACAACAGGTATGGATAATGCTGCAGATATTGCTCACATCGCTTGGGGAGAGGGGGGTCATTTTAGGAAAATGGTTCGAAGAACCTGGAACACAGCTAATTTCGAAGGCTAGTATGAGCGCCGTACTACGCATTACCTGTCCCCTGCTTCTCCATAAAGGACCCGGTGGGCTACCCCTCTGCGAGGGATTCACTATCCGTCAGCCCCTTGTTGAATTTCACTATCGCTACGGTGAGCACTACCTTGAAGGGATCACTGGAGACCATACTGGCCCTTACTCGAGCCCTGACTTTTGGCCGATGAACAAATAGAGCACTTGTGATATGGCAACATACCCATTTCTCCTGCTTTTTGACGGCAATCTCGTAACTTTCGTATTTTTTCAGGAAATAGTCCTCGACTGCCAATAGTTGAATGGTCTTAGCGTGCTCGAATATTTCGATGGAAAGCTTCAAGAATAAAATATCAAATATGCCTTTTGAAGAGCACAAATGTCCTCACTTCAGGGGTCTTGTCTAACTGCGACTTTTTCTCCATATTGGCTGAGACTCTGTTGCTAGTGATCCACATGCACACGATAAAAAGCACCAGCAATACGGTCACGGCTAACCCGCTCTCCCAACATGCAATAATAGAGAGAGGAATGCAAACGACAACAGCACAAATATTGTTTACCATCAGCATGAAACGGTAATCGAGACACTGAAAAAATTAGAATAATTCCTTCTACAAAACGGGTGGCGTCTTATGGTTGGAGTCAAACGTATATACGCTGTAGTTACACTGATTCATATATTAGGCATCCCATTCAAAAGTGCCGAGTCATATAGAGGAATGGCAGAAAAGCAAAGAGGGGATAGGGCAGCGAGCTACTACACCATTTGGAAGCTAGTACCTTTAGCTGTGTATCTGTGAAATTTGGCGAACCTACCCACAGAAGAAGTTCTCGAGAAATTGAAAAGAAGCCCGAGTGGTGAAAATCAGCGCCGGATTTTCAAATCAGACGTCATAAGAGGAAAGTGCGCTGCTCAAATTTGACCTGCGCCGGACCATAGTTGTGTGTAATGGTGTTCTCGAAATACAAGGTGGAAGGTTTGGTTCAGGAGCCCGAAGAAGGAAGAAAGGAAAAAATTTGTTGTCGTGGATGGTCCCATAATGTTCATCCTGCACAAGAAAAAAGGGTGGATGAAGTCAAGCGCTGAATATCTGATCACAGAGCCTGGACCCTTGTCGAGCTTCCCCGCGAGACTGACATCCCTGCTGCAACTGCTGCCCGAGTTATGTCCGATTCGATAAATCAAGGACATCGTCAACGCAGGGGTTGTGCGCCAGGGCTACCTATATTTGTCTTGTAGACGAGCACTAACGCACATTGCTGACAACCATGCCATCTAGCAGTGATTTGTCTCTGGCTATGAGATGGTCCATGTCACTACGGCTGAAACGCACCCCGGCCCTAGATGAAAATGGGTGGTGGACCTCGAGCCGAAACTCACAATCGTCAATTTTGTATGAATGCAGATGAGAAGCCGCCCGAGTTCTACCATGAAGAGTTACGTGGGCGCAAGTGGATGATCATCATAGCAAAGGATTCCCACACTGTGGCTTTCAAGCGGCTCTATACAGAGAATAAAATCGTCGCTGTCGGTGCATATTGCCTGTTCCTCGGCAATCAGATCGACAAATGGATGGTACCACACAACTACAAGAAGGCCACCGTTGCTCGTCATAGTGCCAGACCCCGAGTAACTGTATTGTAGGGCAGTGCTGGGACAAACAATACTGAGACCTGGGTTCAATCGCCCCATTCGCCCAAATAAAGCCGTGCGATTCCAACTGTTCTGGTCAGTCGAGAGTACTCTTCGACTGTTCTGGTCAGTAACGCTACAATGTTTCTGTCATTCGCCGAAACTGGCATCAACAGCAATTTACTCGCACTTGTTGAAAAATCGAAGGTACCAGAGGTCCAAACGCTTTCGAGGCACTGAGATCATCTGGCAGCCAGTGGGACTATTGATCTACATGATCAATCCTGTGGGGGAGTCTTTATAAGTTTCGGTCCAGTCTTAAAAATTTTCAAATTACA